CAACATTTTCATAAATATGTTGTACAACCAAACATTCAATGAAATAAACTTATGAATTATAAGAACAAAAGACTAAATTAATACTTGTGGAAACTTTTGGACTTATTGATAGACGCACAATCCAATTTGGAATGTATGAAAACAACTAAATCCATCAGCTTTAGTGGAGTATCTTAATGATCTTTCCTAAATGATCACTCCCACTTATTAAGATATTCTTTAGCCAAATTAATGATATAACACTCATAATTAATTTGACCAACTAAATAATGAAGATATAATTCTCCACCATTAGTTGGACATACTAAATAATCAATATTTGGTTCCAATTATAGTCCAACTAAATGAATAATTAATGAGGACATGATTCTCCACCATAGTTGGACATACTAAAATAATAAAATACGCCTTCCAAAACCAAGTTGGAATTCGGCTCAGAAGATATATTTCATTATTGGAATCCAAAAGAGGTATATCATACCACGCAACTCACTATAGTTAGTCCAAATAACCAAGTAAGCTTCGTGAAAAATAATTAATAAAAGGTGTATCTAAATTTTTGGAAAGTGACTAAATACATGTTTTGCCAATGCAAACCATGAAACTTAGAATTATAATTGAACTAAATTTATAAATTCTAAGAAATTGGGATAAAGTTATTATCTAACGGGTTGATGAATTTATTGACATAAAACTTGCCTGTGGGCTAAAGTTTTAATTCTATTAAATTCAATTAAACACTTATGATAGTATTTTATCTCAATTACTAAATAGTCAGAAGAATCTAGTGACATAAAACTTGCCTGTGGGCTAAAGTTCTACTCAATTAGATCCAACTGAAATTTTATGATGAAACAATTAGCAAATGAGTTTGAAGAATCAAGTGACATAAAACTTGCCTGTGGGCTAAAGTTTTAATTCAATTAGATTCATTACAACCATACAATTATCAAATGGGTTAAAGAATCAAGTGACATAAAACTTGCCTGTGGGCTGAAGTTTTAATTCAATTAGATTCATTACAACCATTATGACAAAAAAAAAAACTTAAAGAGATTATGTTCCTTATCTTAATCCCTGTGGGCAAATTAAGATATATGACCTAAAGTTTACATCATAAAATTAAGCTTCATGATAGAGGTGAATCTTTATTCCTATCATCACTGATAAACCTACTAAACTACATTCCGATACATAATTGCCTGTGGGCTAAATTATGATCATAGTTCAGTATTTCATCCTAATTAATCATACAAATATAACAAAATTGCCTGGACTAAATTTCATCATATTACATACAATTAATCACAATTGATATGTCTAAAACTTTATGTGACCCTAACATCTCAATATATAATTTTAAATGATTAAGGATGTTGTGGCTACTCCCCAACTAATTAAAATTATAAGATCACTAGACATTTATCAAATTTTATGTGACCCAACAACTCAATATATAATTTTAACTGATTAAGGATGCTGTGGCTACTCCCCAACTAATTAAAATTATAGGATCACTAGACATTTATCATTGCCATCTTTATGTGATTTGAACTTTAGACAATTTTTTTTTTTATTTACGAATAAATACTTACAAAACTATGTCTTGTGACCTTAGTTGGTAAAATATTACAAAGAGAGAAATTCGCAGCCTAGTATTTATATAAATTATTCACATAAGAGCAGGTGTCACTTTTTCTTCCCAAAAAAACATGTACGGCTTTTATATATGAACATATTTGAGGATAATAGGGTTAGAGTTAATTTCACTAGAGGTCCCTTGTCTTTTGTAGCAATTTTAAATTTAGTCTCAGACTATCGTTTTTGTTATTTAACATCCTATACTATTTTTTTTTGGACATTTCTAGTCATTCTCATTAATTTTTTTATTTTTAGTAAGGTCATTTTTGTCTCTTCATATTTTTGTTTTGTTATTTTTCCAGTTTAATTGGTTTAGGGCTTTACTAAAAACCTGTTAAAAAATATGGTTACTAAAAATCAGAGGTTAGGTTAAAAGTCTTATAAATATAAGAAATTTGTATCTTCCACTATCACACATTGTTTGTCAAAGAAATTTACATACAAGTACATAGTTAAAGTTTTATGTAGAGTTAATAACCAAAATAGTCTCTCGACTATGTCATAATTACCAATTTAGTCCTCAACTACTATTCTTACCTAATTAGATCCTCAACTATCTAATATTTGACCAATTTAGTCCTCAGTTAACTTAACTGTTAGTTAATGGTTAAAATTAAGGGCAAAAATATAATTTCATAAGCTTTCCCCATTTCTCATCCAATTCGTCGTCTTCGTCCTCAAACATATCCTCTCTCTCGTCCCTGCTGCTTTCTTAAGAACGGTAGTCGAGGATTAAATTGGTAATTACGTTATAGTCGAGGGACCATTTTGGTTATTAACTCTTTTATGTAATTTAATTTGCAATATAATTCATTATGTAACGATGTAGTACGTGTGCACTTCTCATGATTTTCTAGAATGCACATTGTGTTGTTAAAATGTGCATATTTAGTATTAAAAATTGCACTTTACAAAATGCGGAAGTGCGGTACACTTAGGGTTTGGATTTTAAACATTATGACTGAACTTTGTGGTTTTATTTTGTTTAGAGGTTCACTTTTTACAACTACATTTACGATTTAGATATCAAATTTAGTTTTTTTCGTTGATATTTTTAAAATTTGTCCAGAAATGCACATTATGTTGTTAAAAAAAAGTGCGCAATATAGAGCTAAAAGTTGCATGGTAAAGTTGATGATAATTACAATAATGCAACAGTAATTTTTTAAGTTGATGATAATTATATTACAAAAATACCGCATTTTTTTATTTGATCTGATCGTCTAATTTTTACAGATATTTGGCTGGGATTGGTTCTTAGTTTTCTTATAAAGGTGTGTTCTCATGGGATCCTAATTTTAATTTTTGGGTAATTTGATGACTTGATGATAATCTTTTTATACATACGTATTGTTTTGTATTTCGAATATTATTGTTGCAAACTGGATTTTTTTGCATATGGTTTATTGATTTATTAATTTACATGTAATTTATTAAACTATCAATTATTTGTGATGCTTTTTTAATGTTTGTATATAGTAAGATATATTTGAGATTATAAAATAAAAAAAAAAAAAATTATGAGAAAGTTTAAATGAAGCAAACATGTTAATTAATTTTTCAGGTAATTTAATTGTTATCTTTTCATGATAACACCAAACATATTAATTAATTTTCTCTATCTGTAATGTTATTCTCATCAAACATATTTATTGGAAACATTTTCTCGAAAATTTAATTGATGGAAAATGTACCAAATGGCATCTTAGGTAGTGAGAAATTGAGAATCATTAACTCATTCGATGTTGACATAGCGGAAGACGCAACTTAATAAAGAGTTACTCGATATTTAATAAGTGTGTCGTAGTAGACGTTGGCTCCTCAAGGGTGAGAGGGACAACTAAATTACTGATGTGAAGTGCGATGCCGGAGATGGTTGCACATCAGCACATGCAACCGTGAAAACAGCGCATAGGGGAGATACTTTAGTTACCACTTGATTCAACACCACGCCAAACTATACTCTTTCTTTGTCTAACAAAAAATGTGTTGCAATTAAAAAAAATAATCTACAAATAATCATTAATAATTATCATGGGAAACCCCAAATTTACTCAATCATCTCAGTTCGTATTAGTATAATTTTCAACTATTATTTTAGTGGATTTGGTCAACGAGGATCCATAATTTAATTTCATCAATATTGATGTGCATATATTGAAATTCTAAAATTTGAAAATATTTAAATACTTGCTCAATTGTATACTTTATATGATTGAACAACAACAACAACAACGACGATGATTTTTCTTTAATTTGTTCATTTATGTGTCACGGCCATTTTATTTTTATATTTATTAACTTAATTTTTATTAATGTTTGAAATTAATTATGTTACCATATAATTCTCTAAAAGAAGTAATCATAATTATATTATTTAATTTGACAATAATACCCCTAAATTTAATACCTATTTAACAGAAATCTTAACGAAAGACTATTTGTGTTCAAAAATGATAGTTAAGGTACGTGATGGGATAGGGACCCCGGCCCAAGAGAGATTGGCCCAAAGAAGAGGGTCCGAGATAGGAAAGATGGGCTAGCGTCAAAAGAAGCTCGGAGGGCGCTTGGGCCGAGTCCAGGAGTCGGCCCAGGCCCAAGCATGGGGATCTAGCTCAGAACTGCTAAGAGGAGCCCAGTGGGAGCTTGGGCCGGGACGAGGAGTCGACCGGGGCCCAAGCCCGAGGAAAGACTCGGTTCAAGGAGCCGTTGAGAGCATTGAAGGGACTCGTTTAAAAAGGAACCGTTAAGGCATTAAAAGCAGGACTCGGTCAGGCTGTTACAGGCTTGAGAGAGCCGTTGGCCGACCTAGTAATGACGTCCAACGGCTCGATGCTTTAATTAGCTTTGAAGTCGGCCATTAAGGGCCTTCAAGTCAGAGGGGGAGGAGCCTGCTATATAAAGGCTCCTCCACTCTTGTAAAAAGGGGAAGACACAGAAAAATACCCGGAAAGGGGAGTAAGACCAATTCTAAACAAGTACTTTGTTTCACTCAAATACGCATTTTATTGAAAGGTGTATCCTCCAGCTAAAGGTTGTGTTTGGACCTCCTTGGGCCCGAAAACCCAGAAACCATCAGTACGTGTTTTGATCGAATTGAAAGTCAATGACTAAAAAGAGTACTGGTCCAATAGTCAGAGAAATATTTGTGGTATTAACTCTAATAATAATAATAATTGAAGTTAAGTTCTGATCCAACTCAATCACATACAAATTAAAAATGAAAATCACATACGGAGTATAATTTATGAGTTAATTCCATAAATGCATCATGCATGGTCCTTGATTGTTGACGTTTATCAATTATCAATGTTTATTGTTGACTTTAAATCTGATCATAATTGATGGGCGAACTATCATTTCTGCTGTTTCAAATTTGATCATTCCTTGAGAAACCAGTAGCTACTGCATCTGCTATTCTAGCCCTACTAATTCCATATTTTTGGCCCTTTTGGGGGCATGCATGTACCTGTCTGTCTACTTCATATATTACAATCACATGACTGCTTCACAAATACACACAGCGACCTCAGCTCAAGGCTTGATAAATAATTAAATTAATTTAATTTAATTTCAGAAATCCTGTTCACAAGTTCATTACCGAATCATATGCTGAAATATGCAAATCGCAGCACTCCGCGTCCCAGGAAAAGTCCTTTGACATGGCATCCATAATTCTCTTGTTCCATTGCAATGGATGGTTCTTCTGTGATGTCGCACACAAGAACTAAGAATTATAAGTCAGGATTGGTAGTGAAAAGCAGAGGGAATACTTTTTTGGCTAATACTTACTACTTCATCAATAGCTTGGCTCAACGACAAGTTTGCATAGGTAGTGTTGATGTACCGCAAGAATTCAGTATTCTCAAAATCGTGATCCATAAATTGCCTGTTGAGCGCAAGGAAATGAACTTTCATACTAGAAAATAAGTTACCGAATCTCTAAATGGGTATATATTAAAGTAACTAAGTTCATTAAACAAGTCTAACAAAGTTACAAAACTAACCTGAATTTGCTGTCAGTAAAATTTACTGCAACAGAAGCAGCTCCATACTTCATAGCCTTGAGCTGCATATAATTAATGGGTAAATAGGTAATAGCACTTCAACGTTTATCAACATGGTATGAACTTAATAGCTTTACAAATGAAGCACTTTTAAGAAGCACAACTAGCAGACTAAACCAGAAAATGGGGGACTGGTCTAGACGCCTTAAAAGTGCTACACAAGGTATAGGCAGCTTTTACTGTGGTTATAGTACAATGCGAAAGGAGAATGACTCCACAAAAAATAGAAAGATTATTGAAGTTGATAACTATCAACTCCCTTATTTGAAGGTAGATAACAGAAGGAAGAATTATACATTTATACTCGATGCATAGTATGCATATTTCTGCTCTGGGCGTATCAGTTGTATAATGGAATCATATATACACAGATTTGGCATAACTTAACATGAGTTGAAACATTAAATAAATATAAGTTCTCCAGCAGTGGATCACCTACTGAAACCTAATAACAGGGATTTTCATGTGTGCCCGCATGGGCTTAGCTCACTGGTTCAATGGGGCAAGAGACCAAGGTTTAAAACTCGGTAGCAGCAGTGGGAATTATGTCCAAAGTGGACAGATCCCTTGTGCACTGGCATTTGGCCTTGTTTGCTGAGCCACTGAATCACCGTGATTTACATATTCCCAAATACTTTGTCGGGTTTCGGTGTTGAGGCCCTTGGGGTTGGGGATTCAACCTTTTGGGGCAAGGGATTTTCATGTAGCCCTATCATATACAGAGTCTCATAAAGTGATCAGTTTCCTCTGGTAACCACTTACCGGTACCTGCAGCACTAAGTCGTCAAAAGATTGGCACAACATAATATCAGACCCTGCTAGTACCAAATGCTCTAAATATTCATCATATTTATTCAGGAATCTAATCTTTTCATCCTGCAGCAAGAAATATAAACAGGGTTTCAAAAGGCAGACAACAATTTGCATACCTTACAGTTCACTTATAACAGGCTCTGAGTTATTTCATCATTATGAAAAGATTAACAATTAACAATTTAAGATTTATAAAAATAAAAAAATAAAAAAATAAATAAATAAATCATTATAAAGGTTCCTTTATAACTATATTGTTTTTGAAGTTTCATTAGCACATCAGCACTCCATAAGTGAACCTGTTGCAACTGTTCTAACTTTGACAAAAGATTTATGCTGTGTTTGGATGGATGGGTAGAAAGTTGGAGGGAAGAAAACGGGAAAGATGGAAGGGAGCGATAAAACAAATGTGAGGCACGTAACAAAAGTTAGGAACTTGCTAGATTCAATGTATTATGTGTTGAGATAGAGGGAAAAAAAATCTCCACATTTTCTTTCCATGTTGCAGGGAGAACATTTGATGAGAGCAAGGATTATTTTCTCCTCCATTCTTCACTCATTTTCTTTACCCAAAACAAGAAATGATAATATTTTCTACAGTATTTTCTTTCCTCTCAAAAATCAAAACAAATAAACTTTATGATAAACTTGGAAAAGGTGAGCTACAAGGTCAGATAATATTAATCAACTAAATTATGTTATGATAGAGTTCATAATTGAAAACAGAACTAAACTCACAATCCAAGATCAATTAAAAGGTTGTAAGCAGGAACCAGACTACCTTGAGTTCTTCCTTAAAATATTCCAATAACCTACTTATTGCCATACTTGAGTTGGATGCCATGAAGACAAACTGCAGATAGCCATAAAAATTCAGGTTGATAGAGGAAACAGCCATAAATTTACAGATAGCAGAGGCTAATTGAATGATCACTTTAACCATATCAAAATCCATTGATAAAACCATCAAGCTAAACTAGTATTTTATCAAAATGTTTATTTTAGGTTCATGAAACAGCAACCTGAAGACCCCTCCTTAAAGCCATCCAAACAAGAGTCTTGAGGTTCTCCGCCTCAATATCTGAAATGTCTGATAAAATGCACCCTACCTGAAAAACATCATTTCTATGAGGAATTCTAATATTTTTGAGAAGTCTAAATTAAGAGAGAATACAATATCAATTTTTGGTGCAGTAAGGAATTAAGGGCTGATAGTGCTTTGAAGAACCACACCAACTAGCGTAAGATACAGAGAAAACAGTGATTTTTCATTTACACTGCCTTAAACAGTTTCTCAGATTTGTCCATTAGAAAACAGCCAAAAAGTATAGGATGAAAGTTTTGCCACATAATGAAATTAACTACTACCTCCCTCCCCGCTCTCACATACCACTCTCTCTCAACAGACACAACCACAGAAGTAAACAACTACTAAGGAACTTCTGTGCAGGATCAAAGAATAATTATAGAAACCACATAATAGAGAGAGAGAGAGAGAGAGAGAGAGAGAGAGAGAGAGAGAGAGAGAGAGAGAGAGAGAGAGAGAAAATCTCTGCGCTCGCTTCCATATCCACAAAAGCAGAACATTTTTTTAAAAGGTTATATGGAGCATGGAGTACTTTGCTTCAAGTTTATAGAAAGATGGTGGCTGCCTGGCATGCAAATCAAATGGCTCAACCTAAACCCTCATGTCAACACAAATTTTGCCTAAATAATTTCCATACATAAGCATGCAATCTTTTACCAGAAAGTAGTTTTTGTTGGGCCATAAACTTACAAGAATAACGGATGCATGCACCTCTAACCCAAGGTGCTTTTGCAAGGAGACTTTACATACAGATTTTCCCTTCATATTATCAGGGCTATAATTCTGAGGAAGAAACTTATCTACTGAAGGATCCCATGTTGATTTGTCAAATCCAAAGGGAGCAATTAGCACCTTGTCCCTGCATCCAAATTAAAATAATAAAAGAGGGGTGTTAGAATAAAAAGTAAAATACAGCATGCACATCAATGAAGTGAAAGATAATGGTGGGAAGACCTTTTCCTCAAATACAAAAAGCTTAAAGAATGAAGGCCAAGTTTGGTGTAGTGGCCATTCTCACCCATTGACTATTAGGTCATGGGTTTGTCCTTGAAACCTCTTTCAAACACAAGTATGTTGCATATATCTTCCTTACCATGCCTTACCAACCCTTTAACAATATATCTTGATGCATAAGGATAAAGTAATAAGCTCTATATCACTATCTATCAAGGAGATAGAATGGCAAATTATAAGAGACGTAGTGACCAAAATTCTGTATTAATAAGAACAATACATACTTGTGAAGGGTTAAGGTGGGCTCCAAACCATGACCCATGACACGAATTATCTGTTCCTTTGAACACATGGATGACATTACTATGACTTTATTAGAGTAGACAACTCCACCCTGATGAGACAAATAGGAGAACAGCTTATGGAGAACTTAATTTTTCTTGCAATAAAATCATAATCAACAATGCCAGGGAAAGAGAAAAAGGAAGCATCATACAGCCTTCTTAGTAAAACTACTTCACAGTGCTAGAAAGAAATGTATACCTTCAAAACATTGACAAGATGACCCTTCTTGTTATCTTGCAGACGATCAGGACGATGCAGCCTATAAGGATCAAGCCCACAGAGTGCCAACTTTTCAGGTTGCTGTACACACTGTAATATATGGTTATCAAGATGCTCACTATTTTTGGCTTGGAAGGATCAAAGCAACTGAAGAGGAAATTATAAGAATTCAATATTCAGAAATGATGCCTGGGAATCAAAGCTTTGGCAAGTCAACAGAATCCTAGAACCTCCAAGTCCCTGCATATTCAATCAAGAAGAGTAGTAGTATTTGACCACAGTACCACACTGGATATGGTCTAAGTTTCGTAAAGTTGGTACCAAAGATAATGCAAAGCAACTGTGCATAAATTTGAAACACTAACATATAATAAACTTAAAAGTTGCAATTCAACATTTAGAAATGATTCCAAAGAAAAAGAAATTCAATTGCCAACAGAAATATTATAGGCAAACCTGATTGACAAAAACATCCCAAAACAGAGGCCCAACAATAGAAGTTTCCCAATTGTGTATATGAAGCACATCAGGCTGCTTTCCTGATTTAGCTATATAGTCCAATGAAGCACGAGAAAAATAGGCAAATCTGTCAGCAACAACATGATTTTAGCAAACAATTTTTGAAATATCTGAAATAAAAAAGTGAAGTTGATTATAACTGAATTTTCAGGTTTCAGTGACACTTCATGGCAGAAAATGCTTCTCATAGTCAAACATAAATCTAGATATATCTTAAGAAACTAATGTGAATGTGAAGTTTTCAATTCAGACTCAAGCCTAAAAGCATACCACTAGCAATAAATTTTGAGACAACAGAGTTTTCAAGTTTTTGTTCAGTACGGGCAGAAGGGATGATTTGAGCAAAAAAAAAAAAAAAAACATGTGCTTGTGTAATATAAGGAAAATTTCATAAACCGTTCAAAATCATTGTTGTATCCGTATACTCGTTCATGGCTGAAAAATGAGGAATGGTCGACAGGCTGTATAAGAATAACTCCAATTCCATAGACAACCCTGTACATCAAACAATGAAAGTTAGTTACTGTGACTCTGTGAGGGAGTGTAAGCATAGGAATAAAAATGGATAAAAATAATACATGGCATATTCGCTGAAATAAATCCTCTTCTTTAAGATACATGTTTCTTAAGTTATTATCAGCCAACCATTCCCAGTTCAGGGGGGACTCGCCATAATATAACTCAAAATACCAAATACAGTCGCATACTCACCCAGTCCAGACTCTGTTCCCATGCAATTGACCATTGAAGTATGAATAAAACTCTGCTCCAGTTTCCTGTAACCCTTGAACTTCATCCAGGTTTAGACAAGCATACCTGCTTACAAAATATCGCTTAAAAACATAAACGAAAAACTTCACCAAAAAAATAAATTTGGTTAACTCATTAAGAAGCCAAATACGGTATATAATGATATACCCTTCCCCATTTTCTATTTATAAATGTAAAGTAACGTTTTCCTTAACTTCATTTATCAAGCAGAAATCCAAAAGCATATAGTAAAGATTCTTAAAGTTGAGATGCAAAACTTCATAGGTGATTAATCAGAAGAAAATATTACGCTCAATTACTTTGGTAAAATAACCTCAACGAGATTTCCTTTCCTTTGCAATGCACAAGATAAGCCTGTAATATATTGTGCCAGAGGTCCAATTGAGACCACTGGTGCCATTTCAGTGCAAATGTGGACTATGTGATAGCCAGTCCTGAACAGGGAAGTAAACAATTTGTTAAACCCAACAAAAACAAAAACAAAATAAAAAAAAACAAAAAAAAAACAAAAAAAAAAAAATAATAATAATAATAATAATAATAACATCTTCCAGATATAAATCGGGAAAAATCCTAGAGTTACCTGTCTCCTAGGAAAAAGCAAAAATTTCTTTTTAAAAAATTAAATTAAAATCATGTTACTACCCTTAAACAAGGGAACTGTACAAGAAGAAAAGGATTGATTGCTCATTCCTCTTTGGAAATATTTAACGAACTACAATTTGCACATGGGATGACATGAATCCTGTAATTTACTGTTCAAAAAAAAAAAAAAGTAAAATTGCAACACATGTAAGAACCCTACTTTTTGCTTGTTTTTGAGAATTGCCACAATTCTGCTAAAAGGTCAGTATCTCCTTTATCCATGATATCAGAAAAATATTCAGCCACACTAATTCTTGAATCCATTACTAGTCTTCTCAATTTCGATGCCTCATTGCTGCTTATTGTGCTGGTGAGAACCATCGTGTCTATTCTTAGAAGCAACTTGGAGCTGATTGACAGCCTGTCTAGTTAATTGCGGACAAAATAAAATTTGTGATTAGCTGTTGGAATGACCTACTAAAATATGTAGCCATCTATTACCTAGAAAGACAGAAAATGAAACATGAAAGGTTGTCCACATGAAAATTTATAAAAGGGACTATTAGGAAAAACAACAGTCTGGATTCCAGAGATTAAAAAAAAAAAAAATCAGCCAATTTTCCAAGCAATGATGAAAAGACTAAGTATGAATATGAAGTACAAAATTCAGGATTACTTATTTATGTAACCTTAACTACCAATTACTGAAGATTAAGAGCTACGTAATTCAAGGCATGCAACCGCAACTACAAAGTTCAACACAAATTAGAGCTTGTACTGAAAAATATAAAAAATCTTGTTATACATATAGAGGAGAGTCCCATTTTGTCTCCACTCATCACACAAAATTCCTCGGGTGCAATAGATAAAAAAGCATCCACTAGTCAAAGAGTCCAATGTCTCTAGGTCTAAAGAAAGCCCAATTTATCACATGTCTTTTAACTTTTTTCTTTCTTTATGATAATTTGTCACTATGTTTTGGGATTTCTGTAAATCTTCCAGTTGAGTCTAACGTCTCTATAACATAGTATGAGATTAATGAAATTATTGTTGCTTTTGATGGAAAAAAGAAATACAGAGTATTATGTACTTATTTTGAAACCCTGAGGGGTCGTTTACTTCATTTCTCTGTTTTTCCATTTCCAGTTTTCCATTCTTCCATTTCTCCAGTTTTCCTTCTCCATTTTTCCAGTTTTCCATTTCTCCATTCCTCCAATTTTTTATTTTTCTAATTTTCTATTCTATTAAAAACAATCATCCCATATAGTATTTGTATATTTCTACAACAAAGATAATAATAATAATAATAATAATAATAAATATAATAATAATAATAATAATAATAATAGTAATAATGATAATAATAATAATAATAATTTAATAATAATAGTAACAATGATAATAATAATTTAATAATAATAAGAATAGTAAAAATTTAATAATAATAATAGTAATAATTTAATAATAACAACAACAAATTTGTGTATATAAGTAGGAGGAAAATGAAAAAGAAAAGAGATAATAATAATAATAATAATAATAATAATAATAATAATAATAATAATAATAATAATAATAATGGGCACGCACAGGGAAGAAACAAAAGCGGAAGAGAAAGAAGATAGCTTTGAGTTTAAAACATGCTGAGCGCAGGATTTGAAACTAAGACCTAAGCTTGAGCACTGTTCACACATCTCCATCTCTCCATTTGGAGAATGTGTATTTTCCTTTCTCCAAAATTGTATAGGAATTGGAAGAATGGAGATGAGATTAAAATTGGAGATATAAAATTAGTAAACAAGTTCTCCATTTTTCATTTTTCCACTTCTCCAATTCTTCATTTTTCCAGAAAATTTTCCATTTTTCCAATTTAGTAAACGACCCCTAACTTGTTTGCAGTAAAAACACATATCAAGAACAACTGTACTGTAATTAAATTTGTCATTTTTTATAGTTGTATTACTGTTTTTTTTAAGGGAATAGTTGTATTACTGTTTTCAATAATACTTATATCAATGCTTTTCCCTTGTTATGTGCTTGCATGATCCCCACTAACCAATGTATCTAGATCAGACAATTACTAAAATGAGAGCATCTGAAGCACAGTGCACGAACATTCATTGATTAACATAGCAGTTACTTGTTAGCTCTTAGCAATGATAATTATCACCTTTTGTTGTGCTTGTCAATCTTGTTGCCTCCAGCTGTTCTACCCTATCAAGCAATGAATCCTTTTCTTTCTTCACTCTCTCAAGCTCTTCCAAGGCATTGATACGTTGCTTGTTCAAAAAGAGGATATCTAAATTGCAGTAATTTAAAAATAAGCAGTATGATGCACTGATACAGTGTGAAGTTAGAGAAAAGAAATGAAACCACAAAAACATACTCTGTTGAGCTTCCCTAAAAAGTCGCCAAATATCACTATCTTTCTCTTTGAATTCACTATTCCTGATTTTTAGAGTGTCCTATTGAAAAGAAAACATAACCACTTAGTAAGAACAGGATACACTTAACATGGCCGAATGAGCTTTAGACTGTCAGACACACCTCTAGATTCTCCTTACTTCCCACCCTGGATTGCAAAATGACCGGATACTTAGTGAATACAGAGCAGAATACAACATATAGTTTGAAGAGAAGCAAGAATTCAATCACACAATATGAGATTAAAATGAGGGTGCTCAACTGCATCTGGAACGTTCCTTGTCCTTTAGATGAGGCATTGTTTTCCCCATTCTTCCTGAAACAGACGAGTTATAAGAGTTAAAATTACACAACCTTTCACCACAGAAGATAGCTGAAATAAAATCAATTCTAAGACCAGCATGATCGGCCTGGTCCCTTAGTTGCAACAGTGATTGACAATCATTATTACGGAGTAACAATCAACATGGCATATGCAATCCCATAAAGTAACAATGTTATTTTTGAAACCGAATAGCTACTAAGGAATTAAATCAATGAATTCGCAGTTTAATTGGAAGCTGAAGTTAAAAATAAAAATTAAAAATTAAAATAAAAAAATAAAAAATAAAAACCGAGAAAAATACCCTATCCCGGCGCAACGGACGACGGAAGCTCCGACTAATTTGCGATTCGGCGAACTGATTGTCGGGAGAGTAGGAACCCTTGAGCTGGGCAAACTAAGCAGCATCTCTGTGAATTTTATAATTATAGAGCTCTGCGACGACAGTGCAAATTCAGTAAGAATCTCAGGTTGAAGAGTTGCGGTGTATTATAGACTTACAGTGGCTACTAGATAACTTCAAATCAAATCCTCCCATCCCAGGAAGAAGGGACGTTACTCGAAGAAGTTTCAAGCAAGTTTAATATGATAAATTACACTTTGATCACTCGAATTATGGTCATTTGTTAACTAAACAGTTCAAAAGAAGCATACAGAAATACTTCTCACTTTTCAATTCTCAAGCTAGATTAAAGCCGTGTTTGGTGACTATCGAATTAGCTTTTGTAAGAGCATCTCTTGTTGAGTTTTTTCTGTTGAATTTTTTGAGAAAAAAACTTTTGTTGAAAAAGTAATCAGGTCCTTAAACATAGGTTAAATTACACACTTAAACTTTTTAAAATTGTGTAATTTGATTTAATTTACAGGTAATCAACAAATTACCGATAAAAATATTAAATTACACACTTGAACTCTTTAAAATAGTGTAATTTGACCTAATTTACAGGTAACTAACAAATTAATATATATATATATATATATATATATATATATATATATGGTCAGGTTCCTGTGAAAACAGGTGTTCCCGTGCGGTCAGTGCGGCATACACCATTAGGTATGCATAAATGCAACACATAGTGTTCGAAAATACACATTATGTGTAGTGTATTTTTTTTTTTTTGTGGTGCATTTTTTGGCATTTCATTCTGGTGTATTCTCGAACACTGTATGGTGCATTTATGCATACCTAATGGCGTATGTCGCACTGACCGCACGGAAAGATCTGTTCACACAGGAACCAAAATCTATATATATATATATATATATATATATATATATATATATATATATATATATATATATATATGGAAGGGATCAGGTGCATTTGTGGCTTCCCGTGCGGTTGATTAATGTGCGTAAGCTTTGTACCTAATGTGCGTGATTCTTGTGCTTAATGTGCCTGAGCTTTGTACTTAATGTGCGTGAGTATGTAATGTCAATGTGCATGAGTTTTGTACTTAATGTGCCTGAGTCTTCTGTTTAATGTGCCTGAGATTTGTACTTAATGTGCGTGAGTAGTTCAGAATTACGAGCTCAAAAGGAAGCAAAACATAAAATTTTCACAGTTTCCTTCTTTTTCACAATCTTTGAAGCTTTCATTAGCAGCCCCTCAATATGCAAAACAAGACAAGACAAAATTCATTCATCCACCACTTCGAAACAAAAACAAAAAGAAAATGCAGCAGTAGATGCACATAATTTTCACAGCAGTGGATGAAGAACACACTCACGCACATTAAGCACACAACTCACACACCTTAGGCACAAGACTCGCACACCTTAAGTACAAAACTCACGCACATTAACATTACGAGTGATGGGGTAAGGACCCCGGCCCAAGAGATAGGGGCCCAAAGAAAATAGAAGTGGGCCAGCATCGAGAGGAGCCCAAAGAGCAGTCAGGTCGAGTCCAGGAGTCGGCCGAGGCCCAAGCCCAGGAAAGAACCCGGCTTGAGGAGCCGTTGAGGGCATTAAAGGGGTTCCTTTAAAAGAGAGCCGTTGAAGCATTGAAGACAGGACCCGGTCGGGCTGTTACAAGCCTAGGAGAGCCGTTGGTCGACCGAGTAATAGCGTCCAACGGCTCCATATCTTGATTAGCCTTGAAGTCGGCCATTAAGGGCCTTCAAGTCGGCAGAGGAGGAGCCACTATATAAAGGCTCCTCCATTCTTGTAAAAGGGGGACATTTTCGGACACCCGGAAGAGGGGAGAATAACAAAGAATTTCCGAGCACTAACATTATCTCTGAGTTAGACATATATATTATTGAGAGGTGTATCCTCCGACCAAAGGTTGTGTTGGACCTCCTTGGGCCCGAAAAACCTAAAACCATCACTGGCGCCGTTCGTGGGGATCGAAACGAAGAGTCACGTGCCCTCTTGAGTGAGGCGAGTCCGAGGAACAACAGTCGAATCAGGAAAACTCCAGACATGGCAGGAAGCGAGGAACAGTCGAGCCGTCACGACAACGGACGGGAGGCCGACCTGAGAAGCCAGCTGAACAGGAGAAATGCTCGGAGCCAAGAAAACGAGACGACACCGCCGCCGACGCCGCAGATAAACCCGCAATTACCTCAGGTGCTGCTCACCCCGGAGTAGTTACGCGCAATCGGGCGTGCCTGCGCCGAAGCGAGTCTAGGAGTGAGAGAACAGTCCATCACTCGCCAGCCGCAACGCGAGTTGCAACCGCCTCAGAGGCCCGACAACCGACAATTGAGCCGACGGGCTGAAAGCCAACCGGTACAATCCGTTCATTCCCGGCTAGGTCCCAGCGTTGGGCGTCGGTCGGCAAGGGAACGATTAGGCCAGAAGGAGCCTAGTCGTGCCCCGTTAGCCACCCGCGACCGACAAGCAGCGCGAGAGAAGATCCGAACCAAAAGAGCCAGGACTGAGACTCGTCGCGTGGAGCAACCTCCCCGCAACCCCGTCCAGCCGGCTGAGTCTGAAGTCGGCGAAAGCACGGAATCCACGGGAAATCGCACCCGGGAGAGGGTCGAAGTGGCTAACCTAGTACAGGAGGTGCGAAATCTGAAAGAACGGATGGAGGGAAAAGCCAAATCCCCAGGACGTACGTTGCTGACCGCCTTACCCTTCTCAGACGAGGTTATGGCTTTTAAGATACCGAGTGACTTCAAGTTCCCGGAACAAGCCACGTTCGATGGAACCGGCGATCCCCGCGAGCATTTGCTGAGCTATCAGGCCAAGATGCAGGTTTTGGGGGTACGAGACCCGGTCATGTGTCGTGCTTTCTTACCCACGTTGAAGGGGTCAGCACAAAGGTGGCTGGTGGCGCAGCCCTCAGGGTCGATTCACAACTTTGAAGAGCTGGCAGACCGCTTCATGAGCCATTACGCCGCTAATATTAAGCCGCAAAAGGACCTAACTCACTTGGGTGACATCCGTCAAGACGAAGGCGAATCTTTGAAAACCTATCTGGCCCGCTGGCAGAAAGAAATCCAGTCCATAGAAGAGGTCGAGGACCAGACGGCGCTCACCTTCTTCATCGAGTCGCTGCGGTCCAGCCAGCTGTACCGAGACCTGAGGGACAATCGGCCGGCCACCTACGCAGAAGCCATTCATATGGCCAACAAGAGGGCCAATACGGAGCAGGCTATGAAGTACAAGCGACAGCGCGAAGTCGGCGGATCTGCAAGCGGAAAGAGAACGCGAGCGGAAGCCAAAGAAAGGCGCCCGGACGTGGCTCGGCGACCCGAATTCAGACGGCCGTACGACCGACCAGTGGTCCACGCCTATCGGCCGATTCCCGAGCGTCCGATCCACGAGGTACAAGCGGTTGCCCCGCCTCCGCCTCCGCCGACCGACGATCGCGCGACAAACGAAGAGATGGGTAAGAACGCTAAGTATTGTCGTTATCATAAATCTTATACCCACAGTACGGAGGAGTGCTTCTACCTGAAGAAGATCATGGAGGGCATCATCCAGCAAGGAACCCCGCCTCCTAACCAGTGGAGGCGGAGGTCGGGCAGTCGAGGGGATGAAGAACCCGTCGCCGTTGCCGACAGCAGTCGAGGCAAACAGCCGGTTCCCGAAGAGGAGGAGGCTCAGTGGCGCCAAAAACCGGTTATCAACATGATAGTCGGCGGGCCGGAAGGTGGTGATTCAGCGAACACCAGAAAAGCTTGGGCTCGGCAGTTGTACGTCGGGACAGTGTACGGGCGTGAGGAGAACTCCAAAAAGGTGTGTCGAGAGCCCATCGTGTTCACCGACAGAGACTTACCAGCAGGAGAAATACCGCATCGAGATGCGTTGGTTATAGCCATGGACGTCAACGGCATCGTCGTTCGGCGAATCCTGGTGGACACCGGGAGCAGCGTCAACGTGCTATATCTAGAAACCTTCACCAAAATGGGGCTGACTCGAGAACAGCTGAACCCCGTCAAAACTCCCCTCGCCGGCTTCACAGGGGACTCGGTGGAGGCGGAAGGGTCGATCACACTCCCAGTGGAGATGGGCACGTACCCGGACGTACAGAAACTCATCATGAAATTTATTGTGGTAGACCTGGCCTGCTCGCATAACGCGATACTTGGCCGACCGGGTCTTGAGGATTTAGGAGCCTTGATCTCAATTGAGCATCTCTGCCTGAAATTCCGCACACCGAATGGAGTAGGCACGGTGCACTGTGACCGAAAGGTCGCCCGCGACTGCTATCTGCAGGCATGCAGAGGGATGGGCAAACGCGAGATGCAGATCCATGAGATCACTGAGAGGCCCCCGAAGAAAACGATACTACCTCGCCCAGAGCCTGCTGTCGAGTTGGAGGAAGTCGAGATCGACTCTACATGGCCGGACCGACGGGTCCGAATTGGAGTCGGCCTCTCCGAGACATTGAAAAAAGAAATTGTAAAGGTGCTCCGGGAGCACCGGACGGTTTTCGCCTGGAGCCCAGAGGACATGCCTGGCGTCAACCGATCAATCATATCGCACAAACTCGCCGTAGATCCGGAGCACCGACCGGTCGTACAGAAGAAACGATACCTAGCCAACGACCGGAGGGAATTTGTGAAGAAGGAAGTTGGCACGCTACTAGCGGCCGGGCACATCCGCGAGGTTAAGTACCCGGAGTGGTTGGCCAATGTGGTCCTCGTACCCAAGCCCCCGGCGTGGCGAATGTGCGTGGACTACACCGACCTTAATAAGGCTTGTCCGAAAGACCCGTTTCCCCTACCTCGGATCGACCAGTTAGTCGACGAAACGGCCGGGTCGGCGCTACTGAGTTTCATGGACGCCTTCAGAGGGTACCATCAAATATTTATGCACCCGGCGGATGAGGAGAAGACCGCCTTCCTGACACCGGACGGAGTTTACTGTTACCGAGTCATGCCCTTCGGACTTAAAAATGCCGGGGCTACGTACACCCGAATGGTCGCCCGGTTGTTCTAACATCTGCTTGGGAAATCGATGGCTGCGTACGTCGACGATATGCTCGTCAAGAGCCGGGAGGAGGATAAGCATGCGGAGGACTTGGCCGACTGCTTCAAGGTAATGATGAAATACAACCTTCGGCTGAACCCCAAAAAGTGCACGTTCGCCGTCCAAGGTGGCAAATTCTTGGGCTACATGGTCACCAAACGAGGCATCGAGCCTAATCCGGAAAAAGTACAGGCCATCATCGACATGCAGCCTCCTACAACCGTCAGGGACCTACAACGGCTGACTGGCCGATTGGCCG